AGGGAAATTCTTATGGGACCTGTTTGCTGACGGTACCTGTTGGAGTAACTGGGGCTCTTTCAGGCAGAGGAAGAGGATTACAGCGAGGAAGAAAGTGCCAAAGTGGAACTGAAGCAGGATAGCACCGATTCCTGCGAGTCGGCGGCAAAAGCGGAGAAAGGGGATGAGAAACCTGACCCCAAAGGTGCCGTAACCGGGGAGAGGCAAAGCGGGGACGGGCAGGTAGGTATTAAACGTGTGTTCTCTGGGCCGTGGCGGAGGGGCTTTTCGCAGAGGGACTGCTGCAGTGGTAAGAGCTGCCTGGTTTTGACAGGAGAGCACCGAACCCGTTGAGAATAAAGTTGGGAAAAAGGTTCCCAAGCACCTGGACGACGATGAGGATCGGCAGAACCCGGCTACCCGGCTTACATCCCGCGCAAGGGGCTCTTCTTCGAGCACGACCTCCGAGGGCAGACGCAGGAGGAGGAGGTCAGGTATGTGAGCGTCCCCCAAGAGCCTGCCCTCTCTCGGGGGGGTGAGGCCAGCGCTGGGCAGCACGGTTCTGCTTCAGTATGGAGTGCTGGGAAGGGCTGTGCTTCGGAGTCCTGCTTGCAGTGTCCTGCCAGGACGTTTCAGCTCTTTGTTTGGAAGGAGGGGCTGAGGGTGGTGCAGAAAAACCCACAAGGAAAGGCTCCTGCAAGGAGCAGTGACCCTTCTTGCTGCTTCTCAGGAGCAGCAGCGGGTGACCAGCAGGTGCTGGGCGGGCAGAGCGCACACCCTGCCCTAAAAATGCTCCGTCTCCGCGTGCGGGACTGGTCGAAGCCTCTGCATCTCCTCGGCTTTGCAACAGCTCAGTCCTCCCTGTTTTCCAGGCCAAAGGGTCGTCAGCGGAAGCTGTGGAAAGACGAGGGCCGCTGGGAGCACGACAAATTCCGGGAGGACGAGCAGGCCCCCAAAACCAGGCAGGAGCTGATCGCGCTTTATGGCTACGACATCCGGTCAGCTCACAACCCCGACGACATCAAGCCCAGGAGGATGCGCAAACCGAGGTGAGGGCGATGGCTCTGAAGGGGGACAGCCCTGTTTGGCCTGGTGTGGGACCTGTGTCCTGGGATGCCGCATCCCCGGAGAGGGGTTCCCTGGCTCCGTGGAACCTCTCCCTCAGGGATTTCTTTCCAGTCGTGTTTACTATTTCCCCCTCTCCCGCTTGGGCGCCCTCCTCCGCTTTTTTTCAGACCGAAACTGGACCAACAAGAGGCCAAACAAGCCCCCAAGGCACCAAGGTGCGGACAGCAGCTCGGCTCCCCCGCGAACCTTCAGCAGCAGAAGCTCCGCGGGCACGGGGAGGATGCCCCCGCCTAGGAACTACCCGAGGATGGGGGGCTACAAAGAGACCCGTCCAAGCTACCGAGGTTCGGAAGCGAGCGTCCAGCACCTCTCCCGAAACGGCGAGCAAGCGAAACAGGAGAACGGCTACCGAGGGAAGCGCGCCGAGCAAACCCCACCGAGAGACGAGTCACCCGAGGTGGAGGCCGCG